GAAATGGAAAGAGTACCTCTGAACAGACATTTTTCCAAAGAAGACAAACAGATAGCCAATAGGTACATGAAACAGACCTCAACATTACTAATCAGCAGAAATATGCAAATCAAACCACCATGAGATATTACTTTATACCTTTCAGAATGGCTCTAACCAAAATGACAAGAAATAAATGGTGTTGAGGATGCGGAGATAAAGGAACCTTCAGGCACTCTTGGTGGGACTGTAAGTTGGTAGAACCACTGTAGAAAACCATATGGATGCTTCTCAGAAAATTAAAAATAAAAATACTATATGATCCAGTAATTCCACTACTGGGAATTTACCTAAAGAAAATGAAAACACTAACCTGAAAAGATGTATGTACCCTGTGTATTGCAGTATTATTTGTAATAGCCGAGATCTGGAAACAACCCAAGTGTCCATCAGCAGATGAATGGATATGTGTGTATATACATATACACATATACACACACACCCTCAACCATAAAAAAGAGTAGTAAGATCTTGCCATTAAGACAGGGTGGATGAACCTAGAGGATATGCTAAGTGAAATAAGTCAGACATAGATAAATACATGGAATCTAAAAAAACAAAAAGCAGAAACAGACCCATAATAGAGAAAAACTGAGGGTGGGATGTGGGTGGGGGGTGGGCAAATGAGTAAAGGGAGAGTGGAAGATAAAGGCTTCCAGTTACAGAATGAAGAAGTCATGGGATGATCATCATCTTCTTCTTCTTCTTCTTCTTCTTCTTCTTCTTCTTCCTCCTCCTCCTCCTCTTCTTCCTCTTCCTCTTCTTCTTCTTCTTTTCTTCTTTTTTTAACATATAATGTATTATTTGTTTCAGAGGTACAGTACAGGTCTTCAGGAGGGGAAGAATGAAGGGGGGAAATCGGAGGGGGAGACGAACCATGAGAGACGATGGACTCTGAGAAATAAACTGAGGGTTCTAGAGGGGAGTGGGGTGGGAGGATGGGTTAGCCTGGTGATGGGTATTAAAGAGGGCACATTCTGCGTGGAGCACTGGGTGTTATATGCAAACAATGAATCATGGAACACTACGTCAAAAACTAATGATGTAATGTATGGTGATTAACATAACATAAAAAAAAGAAATCATGGGATGAAAGGTACAGGGAATCTAGTCAATGGTATTGTAATAGCATTGTATGGTGACAGATGATAGCTACGCTTGTGGTGAGCATAACATAAGATATAGACTTGTGGAACGTAACATTGTGTGTCAACTATACTTCAATTAAAAAAAAAAAAACACTGAGATATTTGTGCAAGTACAAAGAGACCAGTGAAATAAAGAGCCCAGGAACATTCTATATATACACTATCACATTTACAAAATACTAATGTCTTCCCCACCAGAATGACTAAAATGCAAAAGACAGACAATATCATGCATTGAGGATGGGGCAAGCTCCACTGTTATGGACTGCTGGTGAGAAGATAAGTTGTTACAACTCTCTAGGAAAACTGGAAATAGCTACTGTAGGGGAGCAGATTTTTCCACCATAAGCTATGCATCTTTGGGATGTGGATCTTGCACTGGTGGGTTGGTAGGAATGCAAACTGGTATAGCTACTCTGGAAAACAGGATGGAGTTTCCTTAAAAAATTGAAAATAGAACTACCCTATGACCCAGCAATCACACTACTAGATATTTACCCAAAGAATACAAAAATACTTCTTTGAAGGGGTATGTTCACCCCGATGTTTCTAGTGGCTTTATCAACAACTGCCAAATTATGGAAAGAGCCCAAATGTCCATCGACTGATGAATGGATAAAGAAGAAGTGGTATATATATATACAATGGAATATTACTCAGCCTTAAAAAAGAATGAAATCTAATACTACACCACTGCATGTTAACTGGAATTTAAATAAAAACTTTAAAAAATAAGAATATATAAATTGATTAAAAAAAGATATGCCTCTTTGGCATATTGATTATTCTAAGTTGGTATTTTTTAAGAAACTGTAGACACAAGAATATCTCTGAAATCCCAGTTTCCCTCTCTTAAGAGACATTTCCATGTATGAGGGAATCTACATTTGTAAGGGTGTCTCCCTCAGTATCAGAAAGAGGGGGATGACTCTTAGATGCCTAGAAACTGTTATCAGTGGAGAAGGCATGAACTTAAATCTGCATGACAACTTTAGCCTTTTTTACTATGCTTTTTATGGTAACCTCCCATAAATGATCCTCTACCTACATCTTCTCTTGTCTTTAGATGGAGATGGTATTTAAGGTGATGGCTTCAGCTATTTTGGTGAGATACTCAGTTTTCTTGGGTCTCTCCAATGTATACAGGAGGTATATATATTATTAAACCTTGTTTCATTTTCTATTAATCAATCTTTTTTTTTCCTTGGGTTCTTTTAAATTTAAACACAATTAGCCAACATTCACTATTAATCAGTCTTGTGTAAATCTGGTTTTTAGTCCAGGTGGAAAAACCTTGAAGGACAGAGGAAAACTTTTTTCCTCTCCTATACTACTAAAGCTGAATATATGAATATATCCTATGTCCCAGCAAATCCACTTTTAAGCACATACCCGGAAGATCTGTGTATATATCTGTTAAAAGACAAACACAAGTATATTCATAGCAACACTATTCACAATAAGCCCGAGACTTGAAAGAATTCAGATACCTGGCATAGAATAAATAAAATTGTGTGTGTTCATCTATTGGAATACTGTTATATAATAAAAAGGAAAGAATTACTTATATACAACAATATAAAAGAATCTCATAAAGTATAAATAAATAAAATTGTATATGTTCATCTATTGGAATACTGTTATATAATAAAAAGGAAAGAATTACTTATATACAACAGTATAAAACAATCTCATAAAGTTAAGTGAAAGGAGCCAAAAACAAAAGAATAATATAGATTCCACTTATTTAAAATTTGAAAGAAAGGTAAAGCTAATCTATAGTATTTTAAGTAAAGATAGTTCGGCTGGGATGTAGTATCTTAAAGTGGATATGAGAGGGCTTGTGTGGTCCTGGTAATGTATGTTACTTGGTCTGGATAATGGTTACAAGAATGTTTACTTTGTGAAAATCCACTGAGTTACATTTATGATTTGTGTGTTTTTCTGTATGTATGTTATACTAGAATAAAAAATTTAAATAAAAAACTTTCAAATTGTTCAGATTATTATCATTGAACTTATCCTTTGGCAGCTCTTGCTTTTAGTTATGTTGACGGCTACCACATGTGATAATTTTTACAGACTCTTCCATGTAGACTGAAATACTTCAACTTACTTATTTTTTTAAAAAGATCTTATTTATTTCTTTGACGGAGAGAGAGAGCACAGCAGGAGGAGTGGCAGGAAGAGGGAGAAGCAGACTTTCTGCGGAGCAGGGAGCCCCATGTGGGACTCGATCCCAGGACCCTGGGATCATGACCTGAGCCGAAGGCAGATGCTTAACCGACGGAGCCACCCAGGCACCCTTGAAATACTTCAACTTGAGTGCTTTTGTTATGTTACATAATTTACCTTCTTGCTTGCATCAAGCAACACTTTTGAAAGCCAAAAACTTATCTTCTGCTTTCAGAAATGTTTGAGAGAGCAGAGTCGAACTAAATTGAAGGGATTTGAAACAAAATTAGCTTTCCCCAGCATGATGTGGGCTATATGGAAGAACTAGACAGAAACTACCATTAAGAAACTAGAGATTCTTTCCTAATTCCTTTTCTAATTTTGAGTGGGAGTCACCCCAGTTTTCTAAAATAAAAGTGTACTAGAACATCCATCTGAATGTTCACCTCTTGATAGTTACTGTTGTTACCGAATGGTATCTTTGTCAAGGGAGTAATCAAGGTCAGAGGGTAAAGGCCTGAAGAAAAAAGGCTGAAAAGCAGGGAGGTACAGGGTTTCAGTGAAGAAAGATATTTGCTAGAAATGAGGCAGGGCTCAAAAAGACTCTGGCTAGGAAGTATCAGCTGGCTACAGGAATCTAATCAAAGCATTCACAGGGCACAGAAAGCATACTGGTGAATAATGGAGTTTCTTCCTTTTTCTGAAATTTTGTGATAATTTCTTCACATTCCTTTTCACCCTTAGTAACTTTAAATAGCTTTAAAATGCAAAACCTCCATCCTTAAAGAGAAGCTGGCAATTGCTCCCTCTGGCTGCAAATAGCATTAAAAAAACAAAGATGATCAATCACTGGAGAGGCTTGTTATAATAATTTGAAGCAAACTTACAAAGTAGAAATCTATTAAAACTTCCTTCCTCAGGAGTTCCACAAAGAAATGAATTCTTTTGCAATTCTGAGGGCCCTTTGCCTAATCTAGGAATAGTAAATACCAGGAAGAATAGAAATTGGGATGTCCAGAGATCAATAATTCCAGATTTAGTCACATTAGACAAACTAAGTTTAGGGAAAAGGAAGCTCATGTTGATATTATAATAGTTTTTAAAACTATCATTTTTATATATTACAAAGTTTTGTACAGACCTTTAGATTAAATAGGTTTCTGATTGGTCTTCTTTGGAAGACTACACTGTAAAACAACTAGTGGCTTCTAAAAGAAAACAAGTCACCCATCAAACCTAAAAGCCCATGTGAAATACTTTGATATAGGACAGAATTCTTTTGAGATATGACATGTCTATGTATATAAATAATTATATAAGTTTCTGTGTTGGCTAATATTAATAACAGCACTTACGATAATAACTCTACCTCAAAAATCTTATGAAAACAGTGTCTTTTTGACTTTTTGCTAAATGGTGATTAATCAGTGATTATTAATTTTTATATCAACACTGTTCCCACTTACATATCCATATTGTACTACTTACCCAGGCTTAATTCTTTTTTAAAAGTCACTTTCTTTACAAAGAAAGTAATTCAAATTAACCAACCGGGCCTTACAAACATAAATATACATGATACTGAGTAAGTATTGACTGAAACAAAAAGCACTTAAAAAAACCAGCATTAATTCTTACCAACTCCAGAGGTTATTGATTCTGCATCAATGTCACTAGCTCTTTTTCTTGCCACTTCAGCTAGTGCCAATTCACCCTTATCTAATGCAAAGTAATGGATGTCCTTTGGGAAAAAAAAACAAAATAAAAGATTAATCCAAATGAATCTTGGTCAAGTTACAAAGAAGATTTTGAGCTGAAGAGCTTACTGTTCAGATTACAAAACAGACATGGCTGATGAATATTTTTTGTGTTTTAATTCTCTCAGTTTTCTAGTATAAGCAAATTTTCTTGAATTGTAGATTATAACTATACCTAATAGCATTATTTAAATAAGTTATTTTAATTCTTCAGGGAAAAAGACAAGTTTTTAAACCAAATGTTCGACATACTCAGTTTTGTCAGGAAATAAAAACATTTATTGCTATGTTCTTTGGTGAGATTTTAATATCTGAGATGACTTCTTCAAAATTTAATTGTATATAATGATAAGCATTTTACAAGAAATACAACTACACAAATTTGTCTCTGACATTTATGTGTCTGGCACATACTACTTTGTTAACATTATTAATATTACTATTATCTTGAACTCATACAGTCAGCAAATAATCAGCACCTACTAAGTGTTAGGCATTGTTCTGGAATATAGAGATCAATTACAATTCCATGTCTCAAGAAGCTGTGAGCCCAGTGGGGAGACAGATCATTGTGAACAGTTAATTACATAATGTGTGATAGGTTTTATAACAGATATTTGCACAAATATTGGCTGTGGAGTTAAAGAGAAGGAACTGATCCTTGCTCTGAGTCTTGAAGGACAAATAAGAGTTATGCTAGGAGGGAAAATAGAGAAAAAGCGACAGAATTAGTATCTGGTGCATATATATATATACAAAGATTGAAAAAAGTTCTGTTAGGCAATGGTATATCTTTGAATATGGAAGGAGTATTAGTTGGATGTGTGGGAGAAAGCAGTGTAAAATAATACTAAAGTAGGTATAGCCACTAAAAAGGATTTTGAACTATTTTTGGGGTGCAAAAGATTGCTGGAATATTATTGCAATAAAAATGGAAAAAGGGGCACCTGGGTGGCTCAGTCAGTTAAGTGTCTGACTCTTGATTTCAGCTCAGGTCATGATCTCAGGGTCGTGAGATTGAGCCCTACATTGGGCTCCCTGCTCAGTAGGGAGTCTGCTTGAGATATCTCTTTCCCTCTCCCTCTCTCTCTAAAATAAATAAATAAACCTTTTAAAAAATGGAATAAGAATATAAACAACCAATTTACAATGAAGAAATATAAATGGCCTATACTCATGAAAGATATTTCATTTTATTACTATTCAAATAAGTGCAATTGAAAACATATAATTTCAAATTGTTTAAGTTTTTAGAAGTTCAGAATATTTACTGGCTGCAGAGACTTCCAGGGAAGATGGCAGAGTAGGGGGATCATTAGCTCACCTCATCCCATAAATACCACCAGATAACACCCACATCAGTGTAAATAACCCAGAAAATGACCCAAAGACTGACAGACCAGACTCTCTACAGGTAAATGCAGAGAAGCCACATCAAAGAGGGCAGGAAAAGTGGAGATGCTGTCAGGAGCCAAATGGACCCACAGGACTGTCCCCAGGAAGGAGGGACACTGCAGATGTGGAGTGGAGAGAGCAGCAGACCCCCACATCAGGCACACCAGGCATCCGAGGCATGGGGGACACACTGGGAAGACAAATTGTCATAACATTTGGCTTTGAAAACCAGAAGGACCTAACTTCATGAGTTCTTACAATCAGTGGGGCATTACACCTGGAACTTTAAAAATCAGTGGGTGTGGTTCTAGGAGAGCAGGGAGAACAACAGGAAACTGACTTCCTGCCCTTAATCTTTTTGACTACAAACAGCCCCCCTGAAATACAGCATAGAAGCAGCAGTTTGAAAACTGCCTGGGGTATATGGGAATGAGATTTATTTACTAATCTCAGAGCATGTGCTGGAGGGGCAGGGATCTTTGGGAGACTTCTCCAAGAACAAAATGCTGCTGGGCACCATTTCACTCCCTTGTCCAACCCCCACCCCCAGCCTAAATATATGGATACCTGCAGGAACCAGCACAGCACCAACATGTTCCACCTAGCTTACTTACAGTGCACCTTGCCCTGGTGCACTTCTGCAGATCTGCATCTCCAGTCCCACCAGTCTTGACAAGTTTTCCTAGGTGGCTGCAGGTCCTCTCCTTTAGTAGACTGGTGAAGACCATCCTGGCACCACATGCCCCACCCCTACATTCTACAGCAGACTTTCTTCCTCCAGTATGTCCTTGGCAGGATCCCATCCAAAGTGGTACCACAAGACTGGCAGTGTGCAAGCAGCCCTGACAGGGTTGAGCACCACTCCAAAGTAGAGGGTAAGATAACCCTATACTCCAATCCAACTGTGGCTCCAGAAGTGGGCTGGGAGCAGACATCAAGTCTGACTACAGGCTCCACCCACCAACAAAAACTCAGGGGAAGCACTTTGCAGTTTGGTGCTACTGCATCTCTGGTAAATGCCTGGTTTGACTCAGCTCAAACCCAACACGGCCCCAGAATGGCCCATTTTCAACACAGTGATCAAACTCTGCACACAAAAGGCAAAGAGAGTCATTGTAGATGACAGAACTAAAGGTAAATGCAGCTTAGCCACACAGTACTGCACATGCAACACACACAGGAGACACCCCTGAAGCTCCAGGTTCTGTGAACTGGGGACATTGCACTGCAAGGCACTACATGACCTCCTCTTCAGAAGGCCACTACTTCCTTTTTTTCTTTTTTTTTTTAAGATTTATTTATTTACCTTAAGAGAAACAGAGAGCGTTGGTGGGGGCAGAGGGCAGGGAGAGAGAGAAGCCCCAGCAGACTCCCTGGTGAGCACAGACCCCCATGTGGGGCTCAATCCCACAATCCTGAGATCACAACCTGAGCTGAAATCAAGAGTTGGGTGCTTAACTGAGCCACCCAGGTGCCCCTAAAGCCACTTCTTTCAAGAGCAAGAGATATAGTGGACTTTAGTAAAACACAGAAAAAGACACAGAGAGTTGGACAAAATGAGACAGAGGAATATGTCCCAAATGAAAGAACAAGACAAAATCACAGTAAGAGCTAAATGAAATGGAGATAAGTAATACACCTGATAGAGAATTTAAAGTAACGGTCATGGGTGCCTGGGTGGCTCAGTTGGTTAAGCGACTGCCTTCAGCTCAGGTCATGATCCTGGAGTCCCGGGATCGAGTCCCACATCGGGCTCCCTGCTCAGCAGGGAGTCTGCTTCTCCCTCTGACCCTCTTCCCTCTCGTGCTATCTCTCATTCTCTGTCTCAAATAAATAAATAAAATCTTTAAAAATAAATAAAGTAACGGTCATAAAGATATACTCAAGTAGACTTGAGAAGAGTAGAGGAACTCAGTGATACCTTCAAAGAAGAGACAGAAAACATAAAAAAAAGAACTAATGAGAGACGAAGAACTCAATAACTGAAATAAAAAATACACTAGATGTAATAAATAGCAGAGTAGAAGAAGCGGAAGAACAGATCACGGACCTGCAGAAGAGAGTAACAGGAATCAAGCTGACTGGAGCGAGAGGGACAAAAAGTAATGAAAAATGAAAATAGATTAATGGAACTCAGCAACACCATCAAGCATAACATTTACATTATAGAAATCCCAGAGGAGGAGAGAGAGAAAAGGGACTGAAAATTTATTTGAAGAAATAATAGCTGGAAACTCCCCAAATCTGGAGAAGGAAACAGAAATCTATACCCAGGAGGCACAGAAAGTCCCCCAAAAATTAACCCACAGAAGTCCACACCAAGACACATAGTAATTGAAATGGGGAGGGGGGGAACAGCAAAAAGGAGAGAATTTTAAAAGCAGCAAGAGAAAACAGTTACATACAAGGGAAATCCTGTAAGACTCTCAGTGGATTCCTTAGCAGAAACTTGTAGGCTAGAAAGGAGTGGCATGATACATTCAAAGTGCTGAAAGAAAAAACCCTGCAGCCCAAAATACTCTATCCAACATAGCAAGCAATCACTCATAATACAAGCAGAGAGAATTTCCCAAATAAAAATTAGAGGAATTCCTCACCCTAAACCAGCCCTATAAGAAATGTTAAAGGGGACTCTGAGTGGAAAGGCAAGTCCATAGGCAAGAGAAAGAAAAGTAGGAAGCAAAAAGGCACTAAAATTAAATATACCTATAAAAATCAGTCAAGGGCCTCACAGAATAAAAGGATGTAAAGTAGGGCACCATATATATAAAACAGGGCTGGGAAAAGAGTAAAAACATAGTGCTTTTAGAATGGGTTCAAACTTAAGTGACCATCAACTAAACACAGACTGATATATAGAAGATGTTATATATAAACGTCATGGTAACCACAAATCAAAAACTGATACTAAATAGGCAAAAAATAAAGAGAAAGGAATCCAAGTATATCACTAAGAAAGCCAGAAAACCATGAGAGAAAAGAGCAAGAGAACAAAGGAACAGAGAAGAACTACAAAAACAGCCATAAAACAAGTAATAAAATGACAATAAGTACATACCTATCAACAATTACTCTGAATGTAAATGGACAAAATGCTCAAATCAAAAGACATGGTGATGGAATGGATAAAAAAAGCAAGGCCCATTTATATGTCTGCCCATTTCAGACCTAGAGGCACATGCAGACTGAAAGTGCAGGGATAGAAAAGCACTTATCAGGCAAATGGATGTGAAAAGAAAGCCAGGGTAGCAATACTTATGCTGGACAAAATGAGCTTTAACCGAAGGTTGTAATAATGGAAAAAGGACACTATATAATCATAAAGGGAACAATTCAAAAAGAAGGTGTAATAACTGTAAATATTTACATACCCAACATGGCAGCCTCTAAATATATAAAGCAGCTAATAACAAACATAAAGGAAATAATCAATAGTGATACAATAATAGTAGGGTACTTTAACACCTCACTTACATCAATGGGTAGATCATCCACACAGAAATTCAACAAGGAAACAGTGGCTTTGAATGACACACTGGGCCAGATGGGTCTAACCGATGGATCTGGACCAGATCTATTCAGAACATTC